CAACACGAAGCTGTGCAAAGGCCCTCCTAGCCACGACTGCCACCTGCTCTTCAAGCAGGAGTCATGAGTCCAGGAGGCCCCCAGACTGTGCACCAGGTCTGCCTGGGGCAGTGCAACCCCATTCAGTACCAAAGATGGCATAGCCCTAGCACCAGAAGGCCCCAGAACCCACAGCCACTCAGTCTTGCAGGGTTCAGTTGAAGCCTGTTGTTCCCCATCCAGACCCCCACAGCCTCCAGGCACCGGGATAAGACATTCACAGCATCACTTAATTAGCCAGGGGCAGAGATGTATAATTGGATATCATCAGCATACTGATGATACCTCACCCCATGGTGACGGATTGAGCTCACCCAGCAGCCTCATGTAGATGTTAAATGGGGGGAGCACCGAACCCTGTGGCACCCCACATAACAGAGGCCAAGGGCAGGATCTCTCCTCCCCAACCACCACCAACTGGAATCGGCCCTGGAGAAAGGAGGTGAACCAGCACAACACAGTGCCACCCACCCCCAATCTTCTGAGCCAATCCAGAAGGATACCATGGTTGATGGTATCGAAAGCTGCTGAGAAAGCTGTCAAGTAGGGCAAGGATGGATGTAGAACCCCCATCCTGCCTAGTTTTCCTGCATGAAACAAAACAGTCTGTGTATTTATTTATTTAGTGTATGGTGTACAATGCCAGGGAGTCTACAATGTTATACACGGTAGATGTTCTGATGCCAGCAACTGCTAGTTCTTTGTTGCACTGGTGTACCACAAGAGGGCAAGCTAGCTTTGCACCAGCTGGCCAGCAGTGTTCCTAGGGAAGTCAGCTCATCCGGGGCTTTTTCCTTCTTCACCAATCCTTTCACCAATCGCATCCAGGCAGATCCAGCACTGATTCCTGCTCCCCGTGCTGCCAGCGTTTCCCCCCCACCGAAATGGAGGCACCTATTTATCTATTTGCAGATGGTATGCTTTTGAACTGCTAGGTGGGCAGGAGCTAGGGGCGAAATGATGGGAGCTCACTTCCGTCATGCGGAGCTGGGCTCGAACCGTTGGAGTGTCGACCATTTCTGGCCAGCAAACTCCAGCGTCATTAAGCCGCTGCACCACTGCGTCCCCCACAGTCTGTGTATGATTGAAGTTAAATCAGCAGTCAGGTCATTACCAAGACAGAAGGCTACAGGAAATGATGGAATATCTACAGAAACATGGCAAGCAACAGAAAAAAAATTAGTAAAGGACCTAACCAAGCTATGCTAGCAAATCTGGAGAATGACACAATCATCAAGAGATTGGAAGAGGTAAATCAACAGTCCAATACAAAAAAAAAAAAAAAAAAACTTTAACAGAGTGTGCAAGTTATCATACAATATTCTTAATTTCATACACAAGCAAAATAAGATTTAGGATCATCCAATGCAGATTAGAGCTGTACATGGAAAAGGAGATGTCAAATGTTCAAGCTGGCTTTAGAAAAGGGCAAGGAACACAAGACATTATTGCCAATGCACGCTGGATAACTGGAAAAAACCAAAGAATACAAAAGTATGTTGTTGTGTGCTTCATTGATTATAGAATGGCCTTCGATTATGTTGATCATGTCAAGCTATGAAATGTCCTTAAAAAAAATGAGAATCCCAGAGCATCTCATTGTTTTCGTGTGAAACCTATATACAAATCAAGAAGCCACAGTAGAGGCAGAACGTAGAGAAACTGACTGGTTTCAGGTCAGAAAGAGTGAGGCCAGGCTGTACACTCTCTTATTTATTCAATCTGTATGCAGAATACATATTGAGGAAATCTGGATTAGAAGAAGATGAATGTGGTTTTAAAATTGGAGGAAGAAATATCAATAACCAGTACTATGCTGATAACACTATTCTGATAGATGTGAAAATGCAAATGATCTGCAAGCTCTAGTAATGAAAGTAAAGGAATACAGTGAAAAAATGGATTAACATTAAATATAAAGAAGATAACAGGCCCAGCAAGCAGGCTTAGAAGTGAGAGAAATTGAAACACGATTGAGTTCTCCCTTTTAGGAGACTTCCTTTTATTAATAAAAAGGAACCAGCACTTAAGAAATATTCTGCAGGCTAACTCTTGGTATAATAGCCATGAAGGCCTTAGAAAAGATATTCAGATGCCAGGATCAGAATCATGCAGGCAATGGTTTTCCTGCAACACCATGGAAGTGAAAGTTGGACTCTGAAGAAGCAGGATAGAAATAGTTTTGATGCTTTAGAACTTTGCTTTTGGAAAAGATTCTTGAGAATACTGTGGATAGCCAAAAAATTCCCAAGGATCACCAAACAAATCAACCCAGAATTTTCATTCAAGGCACAAATGACCAGCCTCAAATTAACACACTTTGGACACATTAAGTGAAGACAGGGGTTTTTTTTGGAGAAGTCTATATTGCTGGGATAGGTGGAAGGAAAGAGAAGAAGAGGACAATGAGCAGCAAGGTAGATGGATTCAATTACAATATCAGTAAGTGCAACTTTGGAAGACCTGAAGAACCAGGCTAGAGAAAATCTGTATGATTGCTAAGAGGTAACACCAATTTGATGGCACATAATCAATCAATCAATGTATGGATAGGCTTCAGAATCACTGAATTTTCCTTCCATTCCAGAGAACTCCCAGTAAATCAATTTGGAGTTGCCAGTAGGGTTCCTGCATATGCAAAATCTCCTATACATGTGATTAGTGCAACTGGACAACGGAACATCATGCATGATACACAATCTACACACTTTAAAATTGAGATGTAATGTAATATAATTTAAAATTATGCCAGA